GAAACTCATAGTGGAGAAAAGACTGAGGGGATCGAATTTGTGGGAGGTGGTTATTAGCGTGAACTTGCAACCGCATTCTCTCTGATGCCTTCAGACTGCTCAACTGGGCTATTAAAGTACTGGGCCAAATGTTCATGCGAGTCACTGCTTTATGTGTATGTGAGGTAGAAATAGCATGTGCAGTTTGAGGGGCATGAGCTTAGAAGCACACGCAAGTTTCGTTCTTCTCTTTCTTTCTAGACTTGATTAAGGAAGTGCTGAGTATGGATGACGAGATCCAGAAGCTAGCAACAGAGCTATACCATCAGAAGTCTGTCCTCATTATGGGACGTGGCTACCATTATGCTACATGTCTGGAGGGAGCTTTGGTAAGAGATTTCTTCGTTTAATGCTAGTTCAAATGTGCTTAGCTCTGGGCTCGGATTTGAGCGCAGGAAACGACACGTGGCTGCAAGTTGATTTACAAGCAGCTAACAGCTATGGTGCATTGCGTGGCATACCGGGTCAAGTAGCTGGAGCTCATCGTAATGCTGTTCAGAATTCTCCTGAAGCAGATATCCAGATCGCATAACTGTTCACAGGTAAAATGCAGCTGAGAAAGTGCATTGAAGGGGTGTATTTCCAGTGTTCACATTGGGAATGCTTTTGGTCCATCGTGGTCTACTGTGGCAGCGCACCCTCGTGTAATCGGTTCCTTAGACTGCTGGAGTGGCGTTTCCAGAACTGCTCAGCATCCACAGCTGAGCACGTCCTTCCTAAAAACTGTACATTGGCGTTTTTACCTTTCAGGATATTCCTGTTGATATTAGCGCTATGATGATACATATGCAGGCTGACTGTAAATCACAAGGCCTGTGGTGGGTTTGGCGATAGAACTGTAAGTGTTGATGGCACGTCTTCTGAGCAGCTCGGCCCAAGTACACTACTTGGAACTAGGTTTTCAGGCTGGCTTGTCCAAACAGGACCTGAGGAGAGCCTGAACAATTTTTACAAGGTTAATTGCTGCTTTTCCCTAGAAAGTGGAAGAAGCTCCTGAAATGGGGAAGAAAAACAAACCACCCACTTGGTCCTAAGCTTTGTCAATTGCTCTTTCCCATTTAGAAAATTAAAGAAATTACCTACATGCACTCCGAAGGGATACTGGCAGGTGAGCTGAAGCATGGTCCTCTTGCACTGGTGGACAAACTCATGCCCGTTATCATGATCATCATGAGAGACCACACATATGCAAAGTGCCAGAACGCTCTCCAGCAGGTGATTGCGCGACAGGTAAGTGCCGGTAAAAGTTTAGAGTGCATCAGGAGTGTTGCTTTTGATGTAAAAACAGTTTTACTGTGCACCCAAAGTATTTGCTTTCAAGAATTTGATATTTCTCTCCTCAGTCCAGCTTAGATCAGGCTTGCTGCAATCGGGTAGCTGTTTTAGTGGCACTGCCTAAAACATGGCTTCAGTAGATAGTCCTTCTGGGCTTTTTAGGTGCAGTTTTTTTACAATATTAGAGAAAGGGTAGAAGAGAGATTGATTAACGTCTTCATTGTCATCCTTAAGCTGCAAAAGAGAATACCTTTGTAACAGGTTTTATAGGGCAGTAGTAGAAGTTAGAGCCAAAGAACGTTTTGTCAGTGTGGATTAGGTCCAAAACATTAGCAGATATCTCTACCAAAACCTGAAATACTAGCTGGCTTTCAGTTTTAAGTCTCTGTATTTCACTAGCTTAGGGGAAAAAAAGATAAAAAAACAACCCACTAGTAACCTTTTGTTTTAAACTCTGCAACTTTACGGTTCTGTCAGGTCTCAGAAAAGGTGACCCTTCAAACTGTACAAAACATGCCCTTGCAGAGTTCTGGTTAAAAAGAATTCAAATAGGTGCAAAGTCCACTGGTATAAGGCAAGAGGTACAAACTGCGTTAGGTTTCTGCTTACCCCTTAAAATATGCTGCGGTGGTGCCCCGATTGTTTTGTTCCGAACGCAGTGAAAAGCTCCTGTCGCCAACAATCTGAACAGAAGCAAGAAAAAAAACCTTTCAGAGCTGTTTTTCTTAGACATTTCCCGTTGTTGCAGGGGCGACCTGTAGTGATTTGTGATAAGGAAGACATCGAGACAATTAAGAACAATAAGAGAACAATCAAAGTTCCCCATTCAGTGGACTGTCTGCAGGGGATCCTGAGTGTTATCCCCCTTCAGCTTCTGGCTTTCCATCTTGCAGTTCTCAGAGGCTATGATGTAAGTACAGCACTCCCTTCCTAGCCTTCTGCACTGTGCATTCGCTAGCTAAGGAGCGGGAATAGATGTGTTGGGTGAGGTTGGCAGTCTGGGGGGTTTGTCAGCTCTGTATGATTGCTCAAGCTACTGGAAATACCAGGTTAAGTGGTAGACCTGGCAATTGCAGACGCTTCCTGTGGACAAAGCTTGAACGACAATCCAGTATACTTGGCCGAGTCTTGTGCAGTTTGGGTTTGGACATGTGTTTGTTTTCTGGACTCATCACAAGCGTACTGTTTCTGCAGGGCTTGTAGGAATCTGAAAGGAAGCTAAAAATCCGCAGAAGGATGTATGAAAACCAGAGTCTGTCTGTGTTAGGTATTTGATCTTAATACGGGCACTGGCCTCTGCCATTTACTACAGTGACCTTTTATCTTTGGAGCCACGTACAATGTACGTGAAAGGAGCTAATTCCTTAGTTCTCTTGACCAGGCCATCACATCTGAAAGGGATGGACTTTTCCTGCACTGATTATGCTAAATTAACATGAAAGCGTGTTGTTAGTTTCAGTTTAATTGCAGAACAAACGTTCCCCACATTACAAAGTTATACACAAACAAACAAAGTGTATAAATACTCACAAGCATCTTCTCTTCTCCTCCCTCTCTGCAGGTTGATTTTCCAAGAAATCTGGCCAAGTCCGTAACTGTAGAGTGAAAGATCATCTGAATCATAGGGGCAAAGGGGAATTAAATGAAAGACTTTTTTTGGTACCAAAATAACTTGATTTTAAAGTCCCCTAGGTAAATCTTATTTTGCTAAATCATTGTTTGTGTATAAGATCACCGTAATTCCATTACATTAGTGATTGTCAAATTGATTCCACGTGCTACGTCAATAGCTTTGGGTTTTCTGAACACTAGACTTCCATGAAAGATGTTATATGGTTTTCTTTAAAGATTTCTGAGTCTTCTAGGTAAGGGGCCCTCCGCTTTACTTTAAGATAATGTCATTGTTTCTTACCCAGTGTGGCTCATTCCTCTCGTTGCTGAGAAACCACTGAATGAGTTACCTGTCATGCTCTCAGGCAGTGAAGCAGGATACCAGAACGTACAACTGGAACAAAAGCTGTTATTGGTCATGCTCGTGCAGATATTTTAACAGTGAACAAAATTGGAACAAGAGTTTGGGTCAATTTCTGCCTCATTTGCAAAAGGGAATTCAACTGATCTGTCACGCTTCCTAAATCTTAGGCACTTGGTAAATGTGCTTAAACAGAAAAAAATAAAACGAAACAAGTCACATCAAAAGGATTTTAATCTATGCCAAATACCTAGCAACTGACAATCGCGTAGACTCAGTGGGCCAAAACGTGTTCTGCAAAACCAGCACGTATCTCTAGTGGTGCCCACAAAGACAGTGGGCTTCACTCCTCCAAGTGTAAATGAAAGCAGCATCTCACATGGTATGGGTGCTTACCAAAGTGTGTGTGTGTGGGGGGGGGGAGAGGAATAGGAACAGTGCTCAGGGTTTTTTGTTTGTTGGGTTTTTTTGGTTTGTTTTTTTAAACAAGTCCCACTCATTCTGCGTTGCGGGATAAAGATTTTCTCCCCTTTGAGCACTGTGGCATTATAAACAAGTCCTAGGGAACTGGCTTTATAGTGCTACAGGCCACTTCCTGGGCTGAACACATACAATAAAGTTTTTGCCTTGTATCTTGCAGTTAGACAGCGCTCAGTCTTCCTCTCTGAGGCTTACTACATTAGACCAAGTCCTTTAACAAATGCACAAGTGGGTCTGGTTTATTTAGAGCAGTTCAGACAGTGGCAGTGGAGCATCTGACTTGCTGTCAGCTTCTGCTGGTTTAAAGTCAGAAGAGGTTTTTAAAAAATAAAAAAAGGTTCAGTAGCCAAGATAATAGCTTTAATACCAAGTTTGCAGATGATCAGGCATTACACAGAAAGCACGCCTTCAAGACCTAACACTTTTTCAGTCATTAAAAGGCAGTTACCTGTGTGTTTCCTAATACAAACGCGCATATTTCCTACCAGCTTGTTGGGTTTTGAATTAGTTTTACACAGGCAGTAGAAAGAACATCATAGTGCAAGGTGTAAAGCAATGCTTGGCAAACAGTAGAGGATGCCTCAAGGTCAATTACTGCCCCCGAAGAATTGCTTTAACAACTACAGTGTTTGGGGACTGTTCTCTACCATTGGAAACCTAGTTCTCCTTGTGCAGAATGCTAGATTATTCCTAAGGTACGGTAATCCAGGCCAACTCATACAACAGAGGATGATTGCTCAAAGTGAGGTGGTTCCACAGACTGACTGTGGCAAGTCTATTTTGTATAAATTGAAGTAACCTATATAACTTCAATTCAAGATCAGCTCCTGGCTTAGTTTTATTATGTTAATAAGTTGTTGTGTGCCTGGAAGCAGCTTCTCAAGCCAATATGTATATGTTTAATGATAACATTGTATTCAGTTTATGAATGCACTGTGCTGCCAGCGTCTGCTTAAGAACTAAGCAGTAAACATAGCGTTTTATTTGTACCACGTTTGCTTATGAGAGGCTAAGTCATTACGTGCCTCAGCCTAAACGCAAGTAGCCTCCTCCACATCATTTGAAGAGGATACTTGTCTTTCAGGAAAAACAATGCCTGTTCAGTGCTAAAAATGTGAAGAGAGGTCCTCTTCCTTCTCCCACTCAGCTTGCTTAAGGAGGGAAACCGTGAAGGTCTAACATGGAGCGAGGGGTTAGAACCAAGGAAGGGTCCCTGTCCCCCATCCCCCCCCAACACAATATAAGGACTTGCAGTATCATAGCCTGCGGTGTTGCTAGCACGGATTCTAACGTGAATGAGTCCTGCAAGAGAATTATTTTGAGCCTTTCTCCTACAGCAGTCAGAAGAAAAGTGGCAAGCACTGCTCTTTACCTAGCCTTGTACAGATGATTGTCTGCTAGCTTACTAAGCCCCCTAGCAAACATGATGGTAGACAGCACTGTTAAAATACAAGTTGGTATACAGTAAAAGTTTGATAACGCAGGCTGTTAAATATTTACAAAAATAAGTTGTATACAAAGAGGACCAAAGAAGACGCTACTAAGTTAGAAATGTAAATCTGACACACTCATGTTGGATGTAACTGTACAGATATTGCTGAGTTATTTGGTTTGATGCTATGATAGACAAACCCTAATGCTTTGTAATTTAAGGCATTAAAACTCATGACAGATTCTTCATTTGTCAGAAGTAGAGGTATTCACCCCCTGCATTCTGCAAGTTGCCAGCAAACTGCCTGGAGCGTACAAAACTCGGCTTGCCAAAAACAGTGGTTTAGTCGCTACTTGCAACTAGACCATCGGACGTTGTAATGCTTAATATCAAAGAATGCGGTGGAGCACGCTTGCTATGAAGAATTTTTCTGATGAGCATGGTAGGGAATCCTCAAAGCATCTCACTGTTGTTAATTGCCATGCCTGTGTGAAGTGAGACTGTATAAAGGCCTCTCTTAGCTTTCCTTACCTCATTTTGTCTAGATGTGTTGCATTTTGATGAACAGATGATGTTTCTCTTTTCCCTAGACAACTTTTAGAACGTCTTGTGATATTTATTAACAGCCAGTCAGTCTTCTGCTCTCCAGAATGAATGTTTTGCTTACTGAGCCAGTAAAATTCCCTCCTTCCTAACTGAGGTGTTTAAAAATGCAGTAGCCCTCTCACTAAAATTGAGCCACAGGTAAATACAGATACGGGCCTTTGTCATTTGCAAGAGCAGCTGCCTATTACTGCATACATTTGTCAATTTTTTTTGGTTCAAGAGACTGTTTTCCTCATCTATATCTATAGTAAAGTGATGCATAAGCCAATAAGTCTTTAGGTGTGTGTTTTTTGTTTTTTTTTTTTAATTAATTACTGAAATCCAGGGCCTTTCAGGCTCAGCTCATGTTGTTTCTGCCTAATAGGTCTCAGTCAAATTCCATGCCTGTTAGTAAGGTTATTCCACAAACAGTAGGACATTAAACCGTGCATGGTATATAATATGGTCAGAAAGTTATTTATTTATTTTTTTTTTCCTTTCCTCACAGCTACACTAAAGAAAGGCCCTGAATTTATGAGGTGAATAAATACTGGCTGTAAACATATTCTTACAGACAGCCCCAGACAGTATTTGGGTAATTGTCTTGGTAAAATGCAACAGTGACATGGCAAATGCAGTCTCGCTTTAGTGTGGTTTTATTTACTTGAGGATAATTAAGTACCACTGACATGGAGATATATCCTTCTAGCCAAAAAGCTGCCTCGGAATCCTTTTTTTAAAGTCTCATCCCCTTTGTATTTAAAGGGCTAACACAGCTCTTTAAATACAAAGGGGATGAGACTTTTTTGTGTTAGCAAAAGCTTCAGATAGACCATTTCAGAGTCAAGTTGTAGGGATCTCATGGATATGGCACAACATGTGATCTTGCTGAATTAAGAGCCTTAAGATTGGCCTAGACAAATTAGGTTTGGTTAAGCTGCAGGTTGTCACACCTGAAGGCATAAGGAAGCTCAATATATTAATGCAAAATTAGGCTTTTTCCCCTCTCTAGCTTTTAGTGGTAGTCCTTCGCACCACAAGTAGATGCCCGTCAGCAGCACAGAAGATGGCTGGGGCAGGGGGGGGATTTAAATCAGGCCCTTCAAGTGGTTTGTCAGTGTTTAACTGTGGCTAATTTTAGCTCCTACCTGACCGTACTGAACTTGCCTCAAAGCATGGAGTCCCTCCCCTCTATGAGAAACGAGAGGAAGAAGAAACAAAAAACTACTTGGTTCAAATAAAAGGAAAGAAAACTATTTGCCTTCAATTCAGTTTGTGTAAACAGACATTTGAAATGGCAGTTCTTACCATTTCTTCTCTTCTAGACCTTTTTGCCTCTGCTTGTACATACCCAGCTGGCTTGGTTTGTGGGGACCAGTCTGTATCTTGTTTCCTGTTATGTGCTGTATGCAGAAGATGTCTTACTTTTGTCTGTAGTGTTTTATAATTTGGGTTCGTCTTTTTCGCTTACTTTTTTGTATCTCACCCTTTGAATAAAATCAAGTGCCCTCCATTAAACAGACTGAATTACTGGTCTTTAGTTAAATCCATTTAAGAATAGGTAACCCCTTTGAAAGTTAAGGGCGGTACGTAGCGAGCAGAAGAACCTAGGGCTTAACGCGACGCTCTCCTAACCGGCCAGGCTGTTTTTCATGTCTGAGATAGAATATTTTTCAACTGTCATTTTCTAACCCTGTTTTTGCTACTAACCAAAAAGAGGCAAGAAGGAAGCTTTTCCACAGAATACCTCTGTGAGGCAGAACAGTCGCTGCTACTGTACCTTAATTCAGCTTTGACGACCATTTTTCTATCACTAGATAAGACAAAATAGCATGACCCACGCTTATTGGTCTTTCCACGCAACTTCTGACACTCCCATGGTTCCTTTTCCAGCCGGTTGGTGGCTGCCCCCTGTTTAGGTCGGGTACAGTCATGCTGGGAACGTCTCTACCAAGCACTTTAAAGCGGGCTGCTTCACAAACAGGGGCAGTGGAGGGCTACAGAACCGATGCTGAGATGGTACTATTAAGTGCACGTTCTTGTAAGAAAACAGCTGGGGGCTAAAAGAGATTGTTCATGTCTAAAAAAATGCCTAGACAACTTATTAAGTGAAGGCCACGCCAGCAAGAGACCATCTGAAATCCCCCCCCCCCCCTCCCCCCAGCCAGAGCCATTCATGAATTTCTTGTCTGAGGGCCCCTCACCTCCACAGGGGAAGAATACCAAACACGATCATTTTCCTAGATAAAGTGAGCAGCTTGGACTTGCTCTTGTCACAAAGTGAACGCCTTTCCTATATAAGTAAAAGTGCATAAGACTGCTTTTTAAGGCCATTGTCTTGAAACAATGCATACGCGGCCTTAGTATCACAAGGAAAGTCGAGGCCTATGCACAGAAAAAACAGCCAGACGTTGGGAGCCAGATTGTCCTCTTCTGCTTGCTCAGATCTTCAAAAGTAAACATCAGCACTATCTTGCAGCGAAGTCATACCCCAAACCACGTAACGCTGCTCAAAGCTTTAGGCTTTCGTTATCATAACTGCACGTCACATCTGCTTAGGCCCCTAAAGGAAAAAGGACTACAGCAATGAAGCAGCAAGGAAGGGTGCTTTGACTAGAAGAGCCTTGGCTGTACGCAGACTCTCTTCCAAATGACTCCAGAGATGCACTGTACTTGGTCTCTCTCATCTCGTACAAGTCAGCCGTTCTCCGGCACTGCAGCTCAGAGAATGAGATTCTCATCAGCTGCTGTTGCAGGTCTGGCTGCATTTCTAGTTACACCAGGGAGGGGACAGGGGCCCTGTTTCTTTAGTATATCCTAATACTACCTTGTTTGAAGAGCAAGGGAGCTGTATGCACGTAAAGAGACGCGACCAGGGTTCGTATTTCCCCATTTGTGGTAACTAACCACGCACGCTATACAGTATATTTAGTTTAAGCCAATAAAAATGACAGTGAGAAGACAGACACAAAGGGACACGACCAGGGTCTTAGCCAGTCAATTCTGTGCGCAGGTTGCATGAAATCCACTTCCCTAAATCCCGATTGGACTAAAACCAGTAAGGCAACGGACGGAGGGCCTGCAAGTCTTTTGCACAGAAACTCCTCCATCCCCTGTAGAGTTAGTCTCATGCAGTATGACAATTTAAGACAAATAAGCTCCCAGGCGCTAAATACGATTTACAGAAGGGCATAAGCATTTGGTTTGAGTGAATTATAATAGCCTGCCTGCTCCAAAGTACTTTTAGGCTCTCTTAGAGCAACGTACTTTCTGACATTCATGCCTTCATACTATTCAAGACTGACTTCTCCGTGTATCGAGCTAAAATACAAAGTTTGTGGGGGCCTTCAGAACAGTTTTTGTGCTCAGCCCTGTGCTAAGGCTCATATACATTCATGCAGCTTTCTTTATCTGCATGGATTCCTTTTCTATAAGGCAGTGCTTACCGCTTGCAGGAGTACCATGTATATCCAAGACCCCGGGAACGGTTTTTATCAGACACCTTCTTCCCCTCTTGCTCTGCGGTAAGCTATTTTGCACAACTGCAGAGCTCATCTATAGCCATCTACAATAACTGCTTGCATAGAAAATATCCATGTAGCTGCTGGGTTCGGCAAAACGCCACCACCTCCCAACAGCTGGTTCTCTGGTCACCGCGAGATACTCGGGGGGAAGCTAGCAGTCCACAGACTGCACTAGGGGAATTGTTAACCCCAGAGGCCTTTCTGAAGCGATCGAGGTCGGAAAGGAAAACGGCACGCAGCAGCGTTTCAGTTGGACATAGGTAGAGCAAGGAGAGGGCGCTTCACCTGTCAGGCTTTCAGATTATTAACTTGAACCCCAGTAACCAGGGTGGTATTTCCCTTGTTTGCAGAAACTCAGAGCCATTCTTACACGTTAGCTACATCTGTTATGCACGGCAGACAGTAGTCTGCCACTGACTAGCCTTTTTGGTTCGAGGAAAGTGATCATTCCTTTCCACTTCAGAAAGTGGAAGTTATTTTCTAATTTTCCTCCCCTAAGGGAGCAGACAGCCACACTTTCTGCACTACTGTAAAGTGAACTACAAGTGAACTACCCCTACTTGAAACAGAGACTGGCAGTAGAAAGCACCGAGTGTTCAGAGGAGCGCGCCGTTACCAAGCGCGCCTCCTGCCTGGCTGTTGAGCACGTGGTTCCTGAGCTCCTAGTGGCTTCGCTAGCCCCACAGCATCACTGCGCAGTACCATAGCAGCGCCCTGTGGTATTCGGAGCATCAATGAGTAGGACTTAAGTGTTATAACCTCAGTGACAGCTGATGGGCCTTCCTGGTTTTTTTTTTTTTTAAATCACATTATGGGAATAGAAATTCATCTCAGTGGAGCATCCTGGCTAGTTCCACAGTTCAATAGCCGCTTTCTCTGTTGCCCACACACCCTCTTTGCTGGGCTGCTCTTCCGGCATCTATTTTTAGCTCACCAAGTTGCTTGTCGGAAGGACCGACAAGCAGCACGCTGCAACATCTCCGCTTCATTTCCTCTCTCTGCTACAGCTCCCTCTGCCCACGCTGTCACTGAAGCTACCCCAACCTTCCAGTCAGAGGACTAACAGCACCCCACAGGCCCTCATAGCTCTGCACAGCCTTATGTGCCTCATTTGACAGACAGGAGAGCATCACTGTCCTTTCCCAAAGTAGCGAGAAGGCAAATACTTAGGTACGCTTTAGTGGCACAGTCAAACACGTAAAGAGATAGACCGCAGAGACAACCGAGATCATGCGCTAGTGTCAGGGGCGTAGCCTGTACTTGCGTTTGGACAGTCTGGCTTTTTCATCTCCAGCTTGGATCTAAAAGCAGGAATCTGATCTACTGCAAGCCTGACCCAAAAGTTGCCCTTTGTGCCTTAAGCAGGCTCTTTCTGACCTATTTTCATGCATTTATCAGCTGACTGGAAGACATCGCAGGCATTTGAAAAAGGAAAGGAAAAGAAAAAAAGCAAGCTGACCTGCCAAGACGGTCCACTCAGTGCTAAAAAGGTTACCCAGCTTAAGAGAAAAATCAAACCCACAAATTACACTCGACAGGACTCCTTCCCCCCTCCTCAGTCTCATTCTTTATTGTTAAGGTCAAATAAAAAATGTTCCCATGGTCCTTACAAATTCCTATGGAAACAACTTCAAACAAACAAGCTGCTAGCCTGTGTCTGGACAGCAAACAGCAGCATTAGTTTAACAGAAGATCCTAAAAGCGGCGATGAGCCCAGACACACTGGAGACACTCACAATACCACCAGAGCTCAGAGCAAAAAGCCAATTAGGCTCCCAAGGGCTCGCGTGCACCAGGAGGTACGTTTGGACCACGGGCAGGACGGGTGGCAGCACAGAGGCCTGGCCGGCTCATTCGGACAGGGAAGGAGGGCTGCCCAGACAGCTTGTTACGCAGAAAAAAAAACCCAGCACAGGCAAAGCCCGCACCTTGGCTGTATCAAAACGGCCCTGCGGCTTCTGCTAAGGGGAGCAGTCAGCAAACCTGCAAGGGACGTTACTAAAACCTCCCTGCTTCTCTCGTTTCCATCTCTGCCCACAGCCGGCAAAACGCTAATCTACGCTAGACAAGAGAGCGCGTCCCTGGGTAGGGATGAGCAGGACGCTCCCAGCCGTAGCGTTTGGCCCAGGTTGGCAGCGAACGTGCCAGCTCTGCATCCCCAGCAGAGCAGGCGTGGGACAGGGACAGCGTTGTGGAGGACCGTGCACCACGCAGCCTCTCCGCTGCCGTGGTGCCGCTTGCACCAGTGGATCGCTGCTAGGAAGGAGATGCCACCTCTCCTCCCTGCTGAGGCCAGTTGCCACTTGAACAGCCCTCCTCAAGCTCACAGGTGGGTGCTTTCTAGCACCCAATAACAGGCAAGACACGGTCTGCTGCACAAGATGACTTACACACCTCTCTGGCAAACTCGAAGGGCGTGCTGGAAGTAGGTTTCATAACCAAAGCTATCCTTTAGGGCTATCAACGTACAGCTACCCACTGCCCCACCACGAGAGCAGCGCAAGAGCACCAGCAGAACAGGCAGAACAGCCCCTGCAGTCACCAGCCAGACCGCTCTGCTCTAAGCTGTGGCAGAGGCTCACGTTCCTTCTTGCGTTTTTCCAGCACCTCCTGTCATCAGGAAGACGTGCTTTGCCAAGCATGGCTAGAAAGACTACTTTAAAAAAAAGGAAAAAAAAAAAAAAATCAAAGGCGACGCACAGCCTAAGCCAAAACAGAACGGTCATGTTCAGAGCGCGACACCTCTAGTAATGTCACATCAAGCCCGTACAGCCAGCCATTTCCCAGGTAGCATTTAGTGGGGATTTCAGAATTGCACAAAGCTAGGAATTATGCACACGGGAAAAACGCCCACTGAATCACACCAGGAGGAGTGACAGGTTTCTGTGACCCAGTGAGGCTGTAGAGCACTACTCGCTTGTCATGTTGCTAAGGGAGAACAGCAGTCCATACCCACCCCCCCATAGATCAGACTCAAGCCTACGGGACAGCCAC